CCGTAGCACAGTATTTCGAGTACGGTGGGCGTGTTCTTTTTCTTTTTGAAATACAAAAAATGATTTAAAGCCGGATTTATTATCTGATACTGCTAGTTTAATTTTCTTTTTTTTTTTTTTAATCGCATCACATCTTTTCCGCGAATTGACACACCGTTCAGTTTTTACGACGAGTAAATTTTACAAATTCTGATGACACGGTTCTCTCTAAAACTGTATTATTCGATCAGGTATGACGTTCCGCATGTGTTTAGTCCTTATAGCTTCTTCAGAGATTCCCCCTTTCTGATGGGTTCCATCTTGTATGTAATGATATTTATTCCCTAGATTAATAATTTATATATTGGTGTTATCATTCGTAATTAGATGATTGTGCAGTGACAGACCTTTTCTTATTTTTGTCCATTGATCGAAACACTGTGCATAGACGTGAGAGAGTATTGACAAGAAAAAAGGAAAACCTTGAAACTTGAAAGAAAGTAACATGTAATGATTGAGAGAGTGTGATTTTTATATCTTTCAACGTGGATCCGATTCCATAATATCGCGAATTATTTTACTGATAAGAGATTACTTTAAACTGTTTTAAGGGAGTACCCCATCTTGTAAGACTAAGAATGGTAGATTAATTAATTCTCTTCTCAGGGTAATTTTGCAATACAAAGTGCCAGGATTTTTTCAGAGCATGTTAGGAAACGTTTTCCCTTTATTCTCATATGTTACTTAAAATCACAAAATCACCTTGTCTAAATTATCTGGCATGGAAAGTGACTGAAAACGTAAAACATGAGAATTCTTGTCAATTTGAATAAACATTAATTGTCTGTAATGTTGCTTATGATCCTTAAATAACTTAAAGAAAAGAGCTGTTCATTTTATTATATGATTTTATAAGAATTAATACTTAAAAATTTGAAGTTCCAAAAACATGTCAATTTTCACATAATTTTCTGCAGAACTAATAATTTCAATAGAAATTTATTTTAGGTGTGCTGTTCTGCAAAAACCATGTTTTCGAGGGAAACGTGACTGTGAAGGTTTAAGCTAATATTTCAACGAAACGAAACATAATTTTTAAAAGATTTATCTCTAGTTTACAACGGGATTTTAAACTTCAGCTAAGCATTAAGACCAATCTCAGCTTATCGATTTATCTCTGAACTATATTCTTTGCAGTTTCCTTGGATTTTTACTCACGAGTTCCTGAATCTGAACGTATCTCAATCATCGGTCGTTTACTTCCTCATAAAAGTTGGTGTTCAGATTGCTTCTGATTGTCAGAATCACAAATTGCTTCATTAATAATAGTGGTTTTATGCCCATTGTTGAGAATGCTATTAGATAAGAATGAAATTTTTTTGCCATAGGTCGTCGTCTTTGGGACAATTGTTCAACACACAGGGAGAGAATCTACACTCATTGTTTTGCGTGTAAATCACTCCACATCGTTCCAAAACATTATTCAAACCGAAATAGTTTCCTAACATCACTTCGACAAACAACTAAACGAAACCTCTCTTTGAGAGAATTCACCAATTGTCAAGAAAGTGTCGATTTTTCGAAAGCCGACAAGATGAGGATACTCCCTTATCACGTATAAAATAGCGGATGCGTGTTGAACAAAGGGACAATTCTTTTTTAAAAGGACTTTTGATAATACTAATCAATTTGAATGTACTGACACGTTCTAAAGACTTTGACGAAACATTCTTTTGGATCATCAACTGTTAAAACTTTGATTACTAACACGACCATATCACTTCTTTAAAAAAAAAAAAAAAAGATAATTTAAATTGTACACATTTTATTTCTCTACGAGACTTTTCTCTGGAAGAATAGAATTGCATATAATAGGGAGAATTGAACCCTCAGTTTATAGTGTCACTTTGTGAATTTCTGTAATCCCAACGTGCAGTCATATAGACATTACAAAGTATATTCATTGTCAATTAGCAGTGAATAAGATAATCTAATAGGTGTTTGACTTCATGAGATAACATGTAAATATTACAAATAACGTAGCGTATTAGTTTTTATTATTATTACTATTATTATCATTATTATACATCATCATATTATTCATAGTTTGTCGTTTCGGTTCATTCAGTAGTTTTCCAAGCTGAAAGTATATACTCTGATCGTATCCTTAGCTTCGTACTTTACGACTCAAAAAAAAAAAAAAAAAAAGAAAAAGAAAAGAAAAAAAGAAGAAGAAGAGTTAAATTAGTTTATAAGTAATGAGTGCGTTTGATATTAACTGAAAACAGTATCAATCATTTGATATCTTTCTAATAACGAGTAAAATTGCACAGACGTACATGTATACGTATCAAAAATTTCATTTTGTGCATTATTCATATTCGTACAAACGTGTTTTTAAATTGATGGCAATGTGAAAATGTAGAAAGTGAATGCAAATATCTGCATTATTTGAAGCTTTATACAATTATGTTAGAATAAGACATATATCTCAGCAGATTGATCTGCAATTATGGTATTCAAGTTTTGTGAAGAAACTTAATTAACAAGAAGTAATTTTATGAATAAAGGTCTACGTATATCCATACATAGAAACTATTTATTTAATTACTAATCTTCTTCATTATGCAAGTTTCGCGAATATTGTGTTGATTTAAAAGATATGCGAAAATTTACTATATTTTTATTTTTACAGCATTGATTTGTGCTCAATGGTCGTTGATTATGACTTGAACTCTCTTAAACGTGTATTACATATACGACCTGTTCACAAAATTGTGTAGTTGTAGGAAATTAAATGATAATACGCTTCATACAAGTTATAATTTACAATTCTGCGACATTTAAAAATTACTAAAATAATGATTGTGTATTGCATAGTTACACACATTATATTTTACATCATTATATTTTCTCATAATCAAAGAAAAATCTTGTGCTATGAATTTGAATCGAGGTCAAGATTTATCACAGTCTATGTAATTATTTGATTATAAATATTAATTATAAATATTTTTCTTATAGAAGTATACTTGGGAAACGTTTGGAGTTTAAGTTTATTTAATCATTTAATCAACCTTTAATCATATCACTTCGTTAATGTCAATCAAGTGAAAATATTTTAACATTAATGTATTTCTGAAATATGAATTGCAAACTTTTTAAAAGAATAGAAACATTTTTCCTGGAAAAATGGAAAATGATAACGACAGTATTATTTGTACAAGAACAACTTAAATACTGTTGTTAAATATAAAATATATTTTTAATCTAATCCTTATAAAATAAAAATAGGATTTGTTTCAGATAAAATACTAGATTTTTATTGTATGAAAATTTTTGAATTACATGTGCATCATTTTGGGAGGAAATTTAAATTTTAATATTAACATCTTCAATAAAATAATATAGATAATTGAGTTTCACATAATGGAGGACTATTTTTATAAAAGAAAATTTTTAAATTATAGTGAAACTGATATAAAGGAATTATCCATTCCATTTTATTATTTAAAAATTTATTATCTTCAAATATCACTATATTTCTTTCAGGAAATCTTCAACGTAATGGATCTCTCACACATTATACAGTTCATACTATTCATATTCTCACACATTATACAGTATATTCTATAAATTTTTTAATATTGTAAGTTTAGTAGAAATTTTGTATTATAGAAATATTTTGTATTTTTTACCTACATTTGCTTTTCCTTATAATCAAAAATATATTTCTGTCACAAAATCTGTTTTAAATTATGTTGTAATGTGTCAACAATCTTCAGTCTTACAATATCATTATTATACAGTGATTGAAAAATTTTCAATTATTTTCAACTTCAGTTGGATTCTTGTGTTACACTGATCGCTATTTTATGAACAGTGCATTAAAAACATTTAGTATAAGTTCATCCATTAGATGAAAAATTCTTGTATTTCATTTGAAGTGAAACGAAAGTCAATTATTTAGTCATATTGGTGGAATATAGCCATTTCGTCAACGCATTCTCAATATCATTTCAATAAATTCAACCCTATAAAGTGTTGTGCATGTTGCACACACATGTGTATACATAAGGAGGGGTACTCCTAATAAATAAGGATCTTTACCATTTTGTACCATTAATCATGAAAAAAGAATATGGCCTGAATTACAATTATTTTGCTTGGGAGTTATTCTGAAAATCTCGTATACACATTTTATGATCACGCAAAGATACACAATTGTCTCTTGCGATCAAAGTTATTCAACTTCTTTCTCGAAGAGTATACAACCAGTATGTGCATATGTACACGCAATTGCAGTCAATTGTGAACTAATGCGCGATATAAACTGACCGTTATTAATCAAGAATCTCTTAACGGAGGAGAGTCTACAATCACAAGATAGGCTTACATACTTGAAACTACTAATCAGTGAAACTACTGGTACGAGGTGAGTAGATTTTGTAAAACTGTTATTATGCGTAATTCTTCTATTTTAATCTTCGGGTGGGACATTCATATGAGTATATGGTAAAGATTATAAAAAAAAAAAAAAAAAAAAAAAAAAAAAAAAAAAAAAAAAAAAAA